CTTGATTACCTTCAAGCCTTTAAGACCCCAGACGCTATACTTTTTGATAGCCGGGCACCATCTCGCTGAGGTTCTTATCGACAGAGGCACACGCGCTCTTGAATTGACTGTAGCCGAATTCCATGCATTTTAGAACTCGGTCCAGAGAAAGATCGTGCGCCTGAAAGTGGGTTTTGTTGAGTAATCTTTACCCTCACAAAGGGGCCTCTCCAGGAAATGTGGAAGGCTCTTGTCACCTCCTTATTATACAATAGCAGCTTCTGGGAAGACGCTGTGACAAGGTCCTATTCGTCACCCCTGGGCAGGCACAGACATGCTGTGTTGTTTCCACAGTTGAGTCCTCACCCAGACATCCAAAGGGGCTGCTGCTAGCCCAGAGACTGAGGATTTTCCTTTTCCATCATCAATGACAAACAGGCTCTGAGCTGCTTTCTACCAAGAGTGAGCTGTTATTTTTAGCTCATTTAAGTAAAGAGAATGAATTTTCTTTTCGAGCAAAGAAGTTTAATGCTATATTGAGGAAAGTTTGAATTTCTTGATCTAGTTGTCCATGTGACCAATTTAAGGTAAATTTAGACACAGAAAAATGGTAGGACTATAGCTGGGTACTGCTCTGTTTCTCAGTGTATCGCATTGGGGAGCTCTGCTGCACAAGACCTCTTTAAGATGTTAAAGGACAAACATGTCACTTGGAGGACTGGGGTGTGTCTGATGCCAAATCATTGTATTTTCAATTTCATATGCCTCCTATGTGTGTGAAAATTGGACAATGAGTAAGGCCGACCAAAGAAGAATTAATGCATTTGAGTGAAGGTACTTGTGAATAATAATGAAAGTACCGTGGACTGCCGGGAGATCAAACAAATGTGTCTTAGAAGAAGTGCGGCCAGAATGATCCTAAGAAGTGGGGGGAGTGTACTTGGGACACGTTAGCAGGAGGGACCAGTTTCTGGAAAGGGCCATCTTGCTTGGTAAAGCAGAGGGTCAGGGGGAAAGAGGAAGCTCCTGAGTAAGACGATGAACACAGTGCCTCTAACAATGGGCACAAGCACAGGAACGAGAGTGTGTGTGGGGCGGGACCAAGGAGCGGTTCGTTCTGTTGAAGGCAGGGTTTCTGTGTGCTGGGGATGCCATGGCACCTAGGTGACAAAACCATAAATCGCTCAGGCGTTCTGATGACCTGGTGGTTATTATAGCTCTGGCTTGCTAACCAAAAGGCTGGCAGTTAGAATCTATTAATTGCTCAGCAGTAGAAAGGTGCGGTGGTCTGTTTCTGTCAGGTTTCACAGCGGTGGAACCCCTGTGGGGCGGTGCTACTCCACCCTGGACAGTCTCTATGAGTCAGAAGGGACCCAATGGCAGTGGATTTGATTCTGAAAAAATAGCTCATCTAGTTCCATTTATTATTAAGACTTTATAGCCAGTATTCTCATTAGTTTTTTTTTTATTAATCTTACATTAGATGTAATTTTTAGTCACCTCATCAACAATTGTCCCCTTCCATGCTGATCCAGTAAAATGAGGCGATGGAAAATGATTCATTCCCTTGGCAATGTCAGCATGGGAGCAGTCACATGATGTGATGCGGAGAAAAAGAACCATGCTATTTCAGTTCCTATTATTAGTAGGTGAGTGGGTTAGGATACGAAAACCTTGCTGACATTCCTGTTTAGAGAGCATATAAGGAACTCAGGCCCCGGGACAATGCGTGTGAGACTACTGCACATCTGAATCACACCAGCCAAGCTATAAGCACATAACAGAAGCAATGCAAGAGAAAGGATTCTGTATAGCGAGGAGAAAAAAAAAAAAATCCACGAGCAGACAAGAAGCACGAAGGAAATACCTTAAGGTCTTGCCTTTCCAGATGCAACAGTTCAGCCCCTCTGATGTCATGGCGGATGAAGATTTCTTTGTACTCTCCCAAATGGAGCAGATCCAGCCACGCAGCAACTTCCTCTGTGCCCCATTTCTGAACTACCAAAGTTAAGAGCAAAACCCCCTTAATCTCTACATGCTCAATGCATCACAAAGCAAAGGTTGGCCAAAGAAGGTGCAAAACAGAGTTGAGCAGCTGTGCTAGCACAGGGAAAGGTTAGAGATGTTTCAACAAAACATGGTTTCATTTTTTTTCCCATGCAGGTTTCAGACAGTCAATAAACACAAGGATAGGGCTTACAAAGACAGTCACTGCCAGGCTGCCGTGCCTGGAGCTTTAGGCCAACTTCCTTGTGAAAGCTACCCAAACTACACAATACACCCACTCCTCACTTATTGCCAGGGTGAGGGTCCAAAGGCCAGGCCATCATGCAAAGATTGGCGTTCTGCAAAAAATAGGAATGTTTTGGAAATGATGATGACAACATATGTACAAATGTGCTGGATACAAATGATGTATGCATTGTCCTAAGAGCTTTAAGAGCCCCTAATAAAATGATTTACTTCAAAATAAAAATTTACAAAAAGGGTGATGACCAATGGAGGATGATTAACTATTAAATGGTACCATGGCACAACTGCCAATTGAGTGCCAAACCACTGAGAATCATGGCCCAGCCAGGATGGTACAAAACCTTAACCACCATGGCCAGTGTTGCTCTCACTTGGCACCTTACTGCCACAAGTCTGCCACTGATGTACAAGATAATAGTCCAATGGAATTTTTACTGCTGTTGTAAATGTGAAATGTTGGCTAACGAGATAGTCTCTAAGTGAGGAGTAGGTATATGCAGAAAAATATTTCTTTCACATTTTTCGGATCAGTGGCACAGGTCTAAAGCAGCTCCGAAACAGTCGATTCTCATTATTCACAGTGGTCATATTCTATGACGTCACCACAGACATCACTAAGGAGGCCCCAAACCACTGGTTTAGGTGGCTGGGAGCCTCTGATCATGATGTGGCAAAGGTTCCATACATTATCTTATTTGTTTGTTTTCATACTGTTTTTTAATGTATGCTTCTGTTTAATAAAGATATTAACAGCTGAAGTAATATCTTTTTTTGGTTCGTTAACTCTAACCTCACAGCCAACAGCCCTGCAACTCAGGCCTGAACCACGTTTAGCTAACACATGCTTTCCCTCCAGACGTTTCATTCAAAGTCTTCTTACACGCAGGAAGCCAAGACAGCACCTTCATACTCAGCTTGGGGGGCTATTTTAAATGCAACACTAGCAACAATCAAGCTCAAGAATGTGAAGCGTGTGCACGACACAGATGTAAAAACAACACTTGTTTATAGGGTGAGTGCTCTCGTTGCTCGCCATCCGCTGGAAACGTGCACAACCGGTGCCTCATCTTCCACTGCTCTGCGTGTGTGCAAGGAGTCTGGTAGCATAGCAGTTATGTGTTCGGGACACCCGCAAGGTCAGCAGTTTGAAACCACCAGCGGTTCTGTGGGCGAAAGACGGGGCTTTCTACTCCCAAAACAGTTAGTCTCAAAAAAAAATCACAGGAGCATTTCGACCCTGCCCTACAGGGTCGCTGGGAGTCAGAATCAAGACTCCGTGCCCGAGACTGAGTTTCAGCTTTCAGATGAATTTTAGCCGGTGAGCAAAGACTAGGGAGTCCGTGAATAACGAGAATCGACTGTCATTCCTTAAGACCAGTACGCAGCCAGCTACCGTAAGAAAAGGGCCGTCAATGCCAACTGCAATGTCAAACCTGACAGGGACTGCTCAGTTCAACACCGGCTTTTCTGTCTGTGCTCTGGCCCACGTCGGCTGCTGCCCTTATTGATTCCACTATTACTGACAAGTAATCAGCAGCTGTTTGGCTAAAGCAATATAATGTGTCGCATTAAAATGTTGCCAGCATTTCTTTCGAAGATTAGTTGGTTTCTACTACTTTTCAGTAGGCATGATCATGATCTCCGGCATTTGCTTCGACACCGCTTAGCTTGGTAAGTCTGTTTGCGGTATTCAGCTTTAACAACCTCTTCGCCAGCTAGCTAGCTGCCTTACACCCATCACCGAGTGTTAGATCACTTTTTTGAATGGATGGCTGACGCGGCAGACTATAAAATGGTTTGATGAGGAAAGGCGGCTTCCACCGCGCACACAGACCAGGAAGGTACGTCGGCCGTGGCCTGGCAGCACATGCATGCTTTAGGGAGAGGTGGGGAGGGAACTGGACAGATAGAGGCAAAGGGAGAGTTAAATCTTGGCTTCTAAGTGTCAGGACTGCAGTCGGCGGTCATTACCAAAGGGTTGAAATCAGGTAGTAAGGCCTTAAAGCAAGGGGACGAGAATGTCACTTCAGATGAAAAATGCGTTTAGTAAGTTAAAGGTGTAAATCAGGGGTCCTCAAACTACGGCCCGTGGGCCACATGCGGCCCGCCGAGGACGTTTATCCGTTTATCCAGCCTGCCGGGTGTTTCTGTCCCTTTTGCTTTTTTACTTCAAAATCAGATATGTGCAGTGTGCATAGGAATTTGTTCATAGTTTTGTTTTTTTTCAACTATAGTCCGGCCCTCCAACGGTCTGAGGGACAGTGAACTGGCCCCCTGTTTAAAAAGTTTGAGGGCCCCTGGAATAAATGAAAGTTTCTAGGTTCCATGTAGCAAATTTTGAACTTGGAGAAACAAACAAGAAACACATTACACACGGGTGCCTTGCAGTGCTAGAGAGAAAGAAAAACTATCAAAGTTGACCCACTTGCCCCCACCACCACCACCACCACACACACACCAAGTTGACCCCAGGAGCACACTGGCGCCACGACATATGTTAGGTCCAACACATTTGCCTAAGCTGCGCTTTTTAGAGCATCAGCTCCACGTCCCGTGTGGACCACCTACCAGGCTGAGAGCTTGCCTTCTGCTTCGGACCCTTTTCCTTCTTCAACTTTGGCACGATTCGGAAAACTGTGCTCCTGTTGTTTCTTTTGGTACAGTCCATAGGAGGCCCCTGTTCAAATTGGGTAAGAAAATAACTTTTTGAGGATGCTAAGAGGTGAAAAAAAAAAAAAGCACTAACAGGTATAATATTGGAACAAGTTATAAACTCTAAAATTATGTTATTGCCAGTGTTGTCCAGTTGGCTCTGACTCATAGTAACCTCATTTGGCATAGCTGAGCTGCTCCACTGTTTTGTTTTTGAGGGGGTGGGGCGGTGATCTTCATGGAAGTAGATTACCAGATCTTTCTCCTGTGGAGGCACAGGGCAGAGTCAAACCCCCAACCTTCCAGTTAGCAGTCGAGTGCTAACCACAGCACCATCAGAGCTCCTCGCTCAGTATTACAGGCTTGAAAATGTATGGATGCTCCTGAGTTGGGTGTCTCCCTAGGTCAAGAGCAGTGCCGTTCAAAGTAGTGCTCAGAATTTGCTCCTGAATATATTTTTCAGAAGGGGATTGAAATGCCACTGTCCTTAAGCCCACCCTTCTAGCAACCCAGGGTGGGCTGGTTATACCTCGTCCTCGTTTTGATGGAAGATGTAATAAAGCCACGGGATCTCGGTGAGCTTCTGTAGCTCCAGCTCCACGGAGTGCAGGGCGTCGGATACCCGCTCCTCATGCGGCGATTCCAACTGCTACTCGCCGACAGCCCAAAGCAAAGCAAGACTCAGTTTACTGCCCCAAACAGGACACGTCATGTCATGTTGACCGTGGACGACAGCCTTACCTATTATTAGACTCGGTTTTATAGAGAAATAGAGGGAAACAGAACTTACATTGTTCAAAAAATATCTGGGTCACTGTGGCCTAGTACTTACCTCCCAAAGACTCTAGGGACAGAAGCAGCTTGTACAATTTTAATGCTTCCACAGAGGAAGCATTGCTTTCATTTCCATGTCAAACTTTCCCTGCCGCCCTCTCTCCCCTTTCCCCTATCGCCTGTCCTCCCTTCCATCCGGTCGGCCCCCCCACCTGTTTTGCCTCCTTGGATGAGTGAGTAGCCTTGCTACTTATTTGTAACCCATTTTTCTGCTTGATGAGGTCACTGTGTGATCAGTAATAGTAGTTTTTAAAACTTTTCAAAAATCTGTCATTGAAAAAAATTTCTTGGCATAAAGAAAAATGGCACAGACACTTAAGAGGCTGCACTTAAAGAAAACAAGGACCGGGAACGTGGGGCCTTTTTGGACGACAATTTGGTAAAGAACATAGCAAACAAAAAGCCATAAGGCTTGTACACTGGAGATGGATCCAAATGCATTCATCAGATCAGATTTGGGTACTGCAGAGGAGTTAGTGGGTGAACCATTATCTGTATTAAAGTAGAACTTGCCCCTGAGTTTTGAGACTGTAACTCTTTATGGGAGGAGAAAGTCTCCTCTTTCTCTGGAAGAGCAGGTGGTGGGCTTGAACTACCGAGCTTGCCACCAGCAATCCAAGGCTGACTCCACAGCACCATTACTTCCTCGTAGCAGGATGTGGCAAGAGTGTCTGAAGTCTCTTCAGGCTCTTTAATAGTGCAGGCTAACTATTACAGCAAAAATTGTAGAGCAGGCCCACAAAAATTCACCGAATTTTAGAACTGGAAGTTCAGTGAGGACAAGGCTGTTATTTACCACACATATTATTTTTTTCCCTCTGTTATTCAAAGACTCTACCATTTTTCATCATTATTAAAATGTGGAATCTCCACATTGCTATATGAAATGTACTACTGTCCTTTAAGCCAGTATTTCCCAAAGTAGGCGATTATCATCTTGGTGGGGGGTCAGGGCTAGAATGATCCAGGCCACTAAAGCAGATACTGTATACCTATATTTTATCCTAGAACATGGGCGATAGTACGAAAGTTCCTCTAATTTCTTTTCTGAAAAGGGGGGTTTGGGTATCCATGCTTTGAGTCTAAGGACATATGACTTCTAAAATTAATGGACTATTATTACATATTCTTTTGAGAAGTAAAATATTTGCTGTTCCCAAATACGTGGTTAAGTCAAAAAATTATTGCCAATAAGGGTTCTAGTTCATATATTCATGGGCTTATTTCAAACAAAATGTTTAAACAAATCTATGGAGCCAGTGAATGGCTGCAGACAGGTTCTCTCAATTATACACTCGTGTTGGTCTCGTTTTGACTAAAATGAATAAAAAATAAAAAACCAACAAAACTCATTGTCAGTGAGTTGATGCTGACTCATGGTGAGCCAATAGGACAGGGTGAAACTGCCCCTGTGGCTTTCTGAGACTGTAACTGTTTACGGGACTAGAAAGCCTCATCTTTCTCTTGAGGAGTAGCTGGTGGTTTCAAACTGCTGATCTTATAGTTAGCAGCCGCATGCATAGCCACTATGCCACCAGGAATGGGCTTTTGATGAAAAAAAAAGGAGAAGAAAGTTCAGAAGAGAATTTCAAATTATTATGGAATGGAGACTTAGTGGAGTCACAGAGACTGGAGGAACCCCTGAAACTATCATCCTGGGTAATCGTAAACTGAAAACCAAAAATACTCCCTTGAAGTCTTTTTTTTTCTTTTTTAATTTTTTGAATTTGATATGGTGTGCATTGAAGGATGCAGACTTCTTTCAGGAAGGGTTGTGGTTGTGAGGTGCCATTGAGTCAGCTCCAACCCACAGTGACCCTGTGCACAGCAGAAGGAAACCCTGCAGTGTCCCGTGCCATCCCCACACTTGTACCTGTGCCTGAGCCCACTGATGCAACCACTGTGTCCATCCATCTCCCTGAGGCCCTCCCCTCCGTCTCTGCTCTCCACTTAACCAAGCACAATATCCTTCTCAGGGACTGCTCTCTCCTGACCATATGTGCAGTGTGTTAAGACATGAACTCTTACTATCCTTGCCTCTCAGGAGCACTCTGGTCTTACTTCTTCCAACACAAACCAGTTAGTCTTTTTTAGCAATCCATGTTACTTTCAATATTTTTCTCCTGCGCCACAATTCAAATGCAGTGAATCTTCTCCGGTCTTCCTTATGCATTCCCCTCCCTTGAAGTCTTAATGCCCAAACCACAGTAGAATATCTACCTTGAACACTACGCTCTCCTAAGAACGATCCGTGAGTCTAGAGTGTCAAAGGACAGCAGCAAACTACAAGTACGAGCCAGTATGGGGCAGTGCGTCCACGTCCCCAGAGAGGACACTTGGAACAGCACCAGGAAGAAGGCCTGTCACGAGCCGTTATCAACCCATCTCTGAAGGGTAGACGAGACGTCGTCAAACCGCTGTGTGTTCTGCTGTGTCTCCATAACAAGGGGTAAAATAAATTACTTTTAAAAGGTAACGCATGCTTCTTCCTAAAATGTTTTTTTGGCAGTCACCAGAGGCGAGTGGCCTCTTGTCCCAGGGGAGATGGGTACGAACGTAGTCTCCCATAACCTTTAGATTTATCTTCTTGGTGCAAAAAGATACTGGAGGGGTGGCCCTCTTCTGGACCCCACGCCAATGTACATTCCAAGCACTTGTCACTAGCTAGCGAGGCTGCTGTAACACACTTCCCGTTCTCCCACAGGGCTGGCCCTGTTTACACTGTTTCTAATCAGGTGTATGTTTGTCCAAGCAAGAGGTGAAGTCTCTTCCAGAGAAATGGGTGAGGCCCATCAGCCATCATCAGCTTTGTGACAATAAGAATTGTTAGAGAAAAAAGCGAATGTCGTCGAGGCCTACACAAAACATCATGAGAACGCGAGTCACTCACAATGGGCCACTGGGTGGCATCAACCTCCCATGTGCACAGACATCGGAACCTGGCAAGGGCACAAAGCAGCTCGAAGGTGGCAAACACCGTGTGCGAACTGACGGGGCAGGGGTGGGCTTCTTTTGGCACTTACGCTGCGGGTGCAATGCTGCACTAAGTGCCATGCTGACTTCCACGGCCAATCTTACGCACAAGGGACATGGCTAATTCTCCAAAGTCAGCATTAGGACACCTGGGACACCGTGTCTAAAGTATCCTCTGAAGCCAAGGTGGAGGGCTGTGCCAAACTGTATTTCCAATGGTAACTCAGGGAATAAGCTTAGGATTTCCTCTACACTTTTATAAAGCTCAAGGGTGACGGGACAGAGCAAGTTTGTCCCAAGCACACATGCGGGGACCCGAGTCTGAACGCCCAGGGTTAGGGTTTCTTCCTGGGAAGGGGGAGGAGACCAGGAAGCTCCCAGGATGAAGGCGTCAGGCTGCTTCGGCACTGGGGTCTGATGATGGCATGTTCCCTAAGAGGGGTCAGGCCATGCGTTCACTTCCTCCCTCTTACGTTAGTGAGGATTTCCCTTCCTTACCAAAGGCACCCTGCCGACCAGTAGAGACTCCGTCTCATTATAGAGGGCCTTCACGTTCACGGCAATTTCAGTGGCGATGTCCCTCGTAAGACTCTAGAAAAGGAGATCAGTGTCAAGAGGTGGCTCCATCATCAGTAAACGCTTTCGATTTGCTTTTCCCAATTCAAATTCACACCACCAGTACCTTTTTAAAAATGACTGTACTTGTAAAACTTTACACGCATCTGCTAGTGTGGTGTCTTTTCAGATTGTTGTATCCCAGAGCCACAAGGCGCCACTGGCTCTAGTGAGCGCAGTGAGCACATCTCCTATGGACAAATGCCTCTATGCTGGTAACAACGGATACAAGGGGGTTTCAGGACGCTGGAGGAAACATGGAATTAAAGGACACTGGGATTTTCCCTCAGACTCATCAAAGCCCTCTAGCATACGTATTCAGCAGTGTCTGATTACAAAGAGTTCTCCCCACCAACTCCCAGCAGTTCCTACCCGATGGCTCTGTAACCTGTGATCGTGGAGACCAGCACTGATTTGTGTATTATTTTATGTAACTTTAATTGAATGCCTAAAAGGGTAAAGTATGTCTGTCAGTTTTTCTCTGTCCTATAGCACTGTAATCATGAATCACATTTCTAGTTTTAATCTGTCCACTGTTAACTGTTTACAAAAGCATCAATGTCCAATTTAACATAACAAAATAAGGTAAGAATAATTTTATGAGTAACTTCAAAAATCAATGGGCCCCACCCAAAAACACCAAACTCACTGCCGTGGAGTGGATTCTGAGTCACGGTGACCCTCTACGATCGGGTAGACATACCCCTGTGGTTTTCCCAACGGTCAGTCTTTATGGGAGTAGAAAGCTTCCTATTTCGTCTGCTGGTTCAGCCTGCCGACCACGTGGTTAGCAGCCCCGTGCGTGATCCACTACACCACCAACGCTCCTTACAATAAATGGGGCATCTCTAGTAAACGGCCACCTTTATTAAAAGTTCAGGCTCGTCCCACACAAAGGGGCAGGAGGGGAGGGGCAGTCTTGGTTAAGAGGGAAAGGAGCAGAAGGAAGACGGCAAGGTGAGGAGGGATTGACGTTTAAAAAAAAGTAAACAGGAAGAATTTAAGAGTGGGAATGGAAAAAGGATACTAAAGGAAAAGAAAAAAAGTCAGCCACAAATCTGTCCTAAGTTTCTGGCGGAGCCGACATGCCTATAGAACTTTCTTTCAAGGTGGTGTATTTCGTAACACTAAAATAAAGGTGCGACACACCCAGCTGTCTCTGGCATGAGACTTGCCCACTCGCTCCTCACCTCTGGGTACTTGGGGTTGGCTTTGTTCAGTGCATGGGAGCATGCATTCACGGCGTGTGCCAGTTCTTGCTCCAGAAGACAGTGAATGGTGGCTGCATCACAAATCCTGAAAGTAGTAATAACAAGACTAGCAATAATCATGCCAGTGAACAACAGCTTCTGTGAACATTGCAGATTCGTTAAAATGTAGACAGACATGTGTGGTAAGTTTTAAAAAACACCAATGAAAGAGCAAAGAAAAGTTAAGCGATGGCAGAGTTCAAACCACAGCAGAGGGAGATTTACAAACGTCAAGCCCACAGCCAAAAAGAACAGCAGCGACCACACGGGGCTGAGTCAGAAGTGAACATGTTCAAGTCCTATCTGGACGGATATGATTCGAAGCGGCTTCAAAAATGTGTGTGTGTGGGAAAATGGAAGAACAAGGTAAGGATCTTCTTTTCCATGGACTTCTGGAAGCATCCTGGGACAGACAGAACAGTAAAACCTAAGCAGGCTGGAAGGTGTCCTCGTAAGAGAACCATTTCCCCTGACCAGGGAGCGGAGGAAAGTGCTACAGGCGCACCTGTTCCAAGGTGTAACCGGGCGAGGCCTTGGACCCGGCGGCCATGGAGTTCATGTTCACGGCTTTCACTGCACTCTGTTCTGCGCAGGGGCAGCTAACAGTAAGAGGCGGGTCAAATTCGGAGTAGAAACTTCTTTACAGAGTAGGCATCTTTATTCACTGAAATGTAACCTAGCAACACAGGCAAAAGGTGAGGAGGAGAACAGGCACATCTTTGCCATTTACTGGCCCAGGGCTTTATATAAATTAACGAAGAATCACGGCCTCCATTTCTACCTCTCTGGAGGAAGGAAGGCTCTGTAGAGGGCTGATCACACAGCTGCTGTTGTCTGGAACACTGGGTGGGTTCTGACTCATAGCAAGGCCACGTGACAGAGGCGAGAGAGCACACACACACACCCTCCTCGCAGGGTGTCCTAGGCGACAGCCCTTTATCAGAGCAGACTCTCAGGCTGTTTTTCTTCCCACGAGGCCCTGGAGGAGAGGGGGGAAGGAGTGTGCAAACTGCTGCCCTTACCAGAATGCTTAACCATGGTGCACAGATTTGAACCTATTTCTATCCCACTCCAAAGCTTGTTGTGCTGCACTCCTCTGGTATCTAAACCTCCAGGCACAGTCCTGGAAAGACAAAACCCTTGCGGGAACTTGGGCCAAAGAAGAGCAAGGAGGGAAATTTCCACCAGAAGCTAAAAAATGATGTCAGGTTTGCAGGTGTGGGAGGCGGCGGGGCACTGCAAACCCTTTCTGCCGCTGACACTTTCAAGGAGAATGGCGTCCAAACTGAACAGAGCAGCCCCAGACGGGCCGTGGCCCCAGCCCGTTGAAACAAGAGTCCAGGTTTTTCTCATGTTCAGCGAGATGAGAAAAGCGGTGTGCGGACAACGCCAACCAAGCAATAGGTGGGAAAGAAATGGTCCGGTTCGCTTGGACCATTGTGCTCTGTCAATACATCCGAGAGAATGGCTAACTTCTTGTGCTGCAGTCGCATCTAAACCAAAGTTGGGACTGAAGTGACTATTTTACAAGCTAAACGCCCGTAAGCGCACTTTGAATGAATACAGCGTGTGAAAATATTTAATGTTCTTAAAGTGGAAGAAACAAGCTATCGTGTGGTGGGATGAGTGGGCCAGGTCCACCCTGGCACTGTAGAAAGTCTATCAACAGGCTGACGACGAATAAAACACAGGTGCGTGTATTGGCATTTCCTGGGCCACTCTGAGCATCTTCCTAAAGATGTTCAACACACTTTAAATCCAAGTTAACGTCCAAGAGAACCCATGGTTTTCTTTCTCAGATCTGCCCAGGACCCAACCAGCTGTTCACTAAAACTGTACGTCATCCTGCCTCCCAATCCCTTCCTCACACCCAATTCAGCTCTTGAGTGGTCTTGACTTTCTCTCCTTTCCCCCCGCTGCCTGAGCCCACCATTTCCAACATCTCGCTCTGTGTCCACACTGTCCCAACTTCATGTCTTCTCCA